ACATTGGCAGTCAGAATGGCAGTTGGAAATTTGCAGTGACATTCATTGATTGTAATGACCTGACATATGTCTTCCTATTCACAGACCTCTCTGGTTAGACTGTTATATAAGAATCTGCATTGCGGGATGATAACTGGCGGGATGTTTCATTATCACCTGCGCAGCGCCGGGATGTGAGAATACAAACCTACGGCTGTGATAACAATAAATATTCATTAATTCACAATAAGGACTCCGGGGAAATCATAATAGTTTATTTTAAACCCAACCCGGCCTCACGTGACTGCGAGGTTCTGCCGCCCAACGGATTTATTTAAAGGATTTGTTTACAGGTTTTTCTCCACTGTTGATTCCAACACCTTTTTGAATTAATTCTTCCGGGATGGAAGACATTGTTGCAGTCATTTTCAAGATAAGATACATTTGTTGTCATTTTAAAAGTTAACAATGTGTATGTCAGAAAACATTAAACAGCGCAAATATGTAAAAATAAATAAATACAAACTGCAAAAAAAAATAAAAAATAATAACAAGTCCCACTGCAAATCGATAGTGACAAAAAAGATATAAAATAAAAAAATATTAAAAAATACATATAAAAATATATATTCATGAAAGTCCTCTTCCAAAACAATGCAAATATGTAAAAAATAAATGCAAACTGCAACAAAAAATGGAAAATAATAATAAGTCCCACTGCAAATCGATAGTGACAAAAAAATATAAAATTAAAAAATATAAAAAAATATATATTCATGAATGTCCTCTTCCAAAACAACGCAAATATGTAAAAAATAAATAAATAAATACACACTGCAACAAAAAATTGGAAAATAATAATAAGTCCCACTGCAAATCGATAGTGACAAAAAAAATATAAAGTTAAAAAATATTAAAAATATTTTTAAAAATACATTAAAAAAATATATATTCATGGAAGTCTTCTTCCAAAACAACACAAATATGTAAAAAAATAAATAAATAAATACACACTGCAACAAAAAATGGAAAATAATAATAAGTCCCACTGCAAATCGATAGTGATAAAAAAATATAATAAATATATAACAGTTGCAAGAAAAAGTATGTGAACCCCTTGGGATTACGTGAGTTTTGCATGAATTGGGCATAAAATGTGCTCTGAACGTCATCTAAGTCACAACAATAGAAGAACACAGTCTGCTGAACATAATACTACACAAACATTAGATGTTGCCATGGTTTAATTGCACATAACATGTAAACATTCACAGTGCAGGGAGGAAAAAGTATGTGAACCTTTGGACGTAATAACTGGTTGACCCTCCTTTGGCAGCAATAACCTCAACCAAATGTTTCCTGTAGTTGCAGATCAGACCTGCACAACGATCTGGAGTCATTTTGGACCACTCCTCTTCACAAAACTGTTTCAGTGTAGCAATATTCTTGGGATGTCTGGTGTGAATCGCTCTCTTAAGGTCATGCTACAGCATTTCAATGGGGTTGAGGTCAGGACTCTGACTGGGCCACTCCAGAAGGCATATTCTGTGCTGTTGCAGCCATTGTTTTGTTGAATGACTTGTATGCTTTGGGTCATTGTCCTGTTGCATCACCCATCCTCTGCGGAGCTTCAGTTGGCGGACAGATGGTCGTACGTTTTCCTGCAAAATGTCTTGATAAACTCTGGAATTCATTTTCCCATCAATGACAACAATCCGTCCAGGCCCTGAGGCAGCAAAGCAGCCCCAAACCATGATGCTCCCTCTGCCATGTTTCACAGTGGGGATGAGGGTTTGATGTTGGTGTGCTGTGCCTTTTTTTCTCCACACATAGTGTTGTGTGTTTCTTCCCAAACAACTCAATCTTGGTTTCATCTGTCCACAGTATATTTTGCCAGTAGTGCTGTGGAACATCCAGGTCCTGTCACTCCTGTCCTGCCACTCCTGTCAGCTAAGAACAGGAAATGGAGGCCACAATTCACACAGGCTCACCAAAATTGAAGTTTGGAAAAACTTTGCCTGGTCTGATGAGTCTCAATTTCAGCCGCTACATTCAGATGGTTGGGTCAGAATTTGGCGTAATCAACATGAAAGCATGGATTCATCCTGCCTTGTATCAATGGTTCAGGCTGGTGGGGGTGTCATGGTGAGGTGGATCCATCCTGCCTTGCATCAACAGTTCAGGCTGGTGGTGGTGTCATGGTGTTGTGGATCCATCCTGCCTTGCATCAAGAGTTCAGGCTGGTGGTGGTGTAATGAGGAGAATGGGCCAACATGAAAGTATAGATCCATTCTGCCTTGCATCAGCAGTTCAGGGGGGGTGGTGGTGGTGTAATGAGGAGAATGGGCCAACAACATGAAAGCATGGATCCATCCTGCCTTGTATCAACGGTTCAGGCTGGTGGCGGTGGTGTCATGGTGAGGTGGATCCATCCTGCCTTATATCAATGGTTCAGGCTGGTGGTGGTGGTGTCATGGTGAGGTGGATCCATCCTGCCTTGTATCAACGGTTCAGGCTGGTGGTGGTGGTGTCATGGTAAGGTGGATCCATCCTGCCTTGTATCAACGGTTCAGGCTGGTGGCGGTGGTGTCATGGTGAGGTGGATCCATCCTGCCTTATATCAATGGTTCAGGCTGGTGGTGGTGGTGTCATGGTGAGGTGGATCCATCCTGCCTTGTATCAACGGTTCAGGCTGGTGGTGGTGGTGTCATGGTAAGGTGGATCCATCCTGCCTTGTATCAACAGTTCAGGCTGGTGGTGGTGGTGTCATGGTGTGGTGGATCCATCCTGCCTTGTATCAACGGTTCAGGCTGGTGGTGGTGGTGTCATGGTAAGGTGGATCCATCCTGCCTTGTATCAACAGTTCAGGCTTTTGGTGGTGTCATGATGTGGGGGATCCATCCTGCCTTGTGTCAATGGTTCAGGCTTTTGGTGGTGTCATGGTGTGGTGGATCCATCCTGCCTTGTATCAATGGTTCAGGCTGGTGCTGGTGGTATCATAGTGAGGTGGATCCATCCTGCCTTGTACATTCTTGGTGAGGTTGGGAAAATTCGGGATCTTGAGAAAGACAGGCTGCGGCGTAGGGCTTGGATGGAGGCGTGGAGGAACATCAAGCCTGTTGCTGCGGTCTGTTGATCTCGGGTGATGAGAACTGTCCCTGTTTTCTGCCTCTTGCACTCCCTAGCTTTTGCGTTTCGGTCTTTTTGGTAGCCTTTTCTGGTAGGTTGTAGGTGTCAGACGTGGAAGATCTGCGGGTTCCTTAGCCCTCCCCCGTAGTGTATATGATGGTTAGGTGTTTTTTGTGTATAGTTTGGGCCATACAGGCCGTAAGCGGCAGGTTTAATATGGAAATTGTTTATGGTTTATGTTTATGTCTGAGCCATAAAGGCTCCTAATTATATGGTCTTGGCCATAAAGGCCTTGTACTGTACATATTGTATATAAGTTCCGTTTTTTCCTTTCAGGTTATGGACTTTTATGTTCTTTGTTTATTATTTCTCCCACAGGGGTTGTTGGGACTTTTTCAGTTTCTTTGTTTAGTTTTGTATTTATTTATTCTATTTATTATACTTTGTACTTTTATATATAAGTTGAGGATGGATATGTATGACATTAATACATAAATAAAAAATCTCCATCCTACCTTGTATCAATGGTTTAGGCTGGTGGTGTCATGGTGTGGTGGATCCATCCTGCCTTGTATCAACGGTTTAGCCTGGTGGTGGTGTCGTGGTGAGGTGGATCCATCCTGCCTTGTATCAACAGTTCAGGCTGGTGCTGGTGGTGTCATGGTGAGGTGGATCCATCCTGCCTTGTATCAATGGTTCAGGCCGGTGGTGGTGTCATGGTGAGGTGGATCCATGCTGCCTTGTATCAATGGTTCAGGCCGGTGGTGGTGTCATGGTAAGGTGGATCCATCCTGCCTTGTATCAATTGTTCAGACTGGTGGTGTAATGGTGTGGGGAAGATTTTCTTGACAGACTTTGGGCCCCTTAGTACCAATTGAGCATCGTTTAAACAGCAGGGCCTACCTGAATATTGTTGCTGACCATGTCCATCCCTTTATGACTCCAGTGTCCCCATCTTCTGGTGGCTCCTTCCAGCAGGACAATACTCCATGTCACAAAGCTCAAATCATCTCACACTGGTTTCTTGAACATGACAATGAGGTCCCTGCACTCCAATGGCCTCCACAGTCATCAGATCTCCATCCAACAGAGCACCTTTGGGATGTGGTGGAATGGGAGATTGGCATCATGGATGTGCAGCCGACAAATCTGTAGCAACTGGACCAATATGGACCAAAATCTCTGAGGAAGGTTTCCAACACCTTGTTGAATCTATGCCACGAAGAATGAAGGCAAAAGGGGGTCCAACCCGGGACTAGCAAGGTGGACCTAATAAAGTGGGCGGTGAGTGCATACCGATCTGCGCATGCGCATCTTACTTTAATTTAAAGATGTTTTTGAACAGGACAGTATTAAGCTTTTTTTTTTGCAGCAGCAGCAGAGACACTTTACTAAATGCAAATAGACAAGGGAAGTTGCACTTTGCAAGGGAATTTTCCAAAGAGCTTAGTGAATGAGGTTAAGCTCTGCTGACTTCCATCATCCAATCATGTGCAAGCAAAAATACTGTTTTATTTTTTTTCTTCCTTGCACCTGATTGGGTATTCTTTGCAAAGTGAAAATTCACCACAATCACTAAGCTCTGGGGAAAATCCCCTTGCAAAATATGACTCCTTTTGCGACGTGAGCAGCTTATTTGCCTTTAGTAAATCAACCTTACAATCTTGCATATGTTCAGGGGCAGACTGACCATTTGGAAACTCGGGCACTGCCCGAGGGCCCGGGGTCAGTAGGGGGCCCCATGAGATCCCCCTGGTACCTTTCTCATAGGCTTTTTTGAGTTTGGGCAAGGACACAGGGGCCTCATGATCCCCTATTGCCCGGGGGCCCCATGAGTTGTCAGTCCGCCCCTGTATACGTCCGATCAAGATTGGTTCTCCTAATACATGTTCCGTACTATGTTGCCATGTTGTACGCTCTTCCGAAAAGGGCCGTTTGCTTCCGCAGTTGTTTGATTCCCCTGGAGAAGGCAGAAACTTGGCAAGCGAGGGACTCGCGATATAATATATTATCAGTTCCATATGCCAACAAACATCCAAAGACATTCCGCTCCTCAATTTATGTTGACAAACAGCAATGAAGGATGAGAGGGAGATTTAATTTGAATAAATTACAATATTTACATGTGCTGAAACCCATAAAGCATAATGGTTTGAAGAAACACTCACATCATGATATTATGTGCCGCTGCCGCGAGCCTCTTGGGGCGTCTTTACCATGGATCTTCCGAAACTCTAACCGCTCCGGTGTGGAAATTCATTTGATGGTAATGTAAGGCTGCAACAGTTATTGCTTATTATTGTTGTGCTGTTCTACTACGCCGCTACTTGTGGTAATGGATTTGATGTTACACGGCCACGTACCAATCATCAAAAAGGAAATTTGAAAGGGGAGTCAGTAGTGACCTGGTAGTTGGAGCGAGACAGGTTGATATCAAAACTAGGTTTTGGGGGGGAGGCCACAAGAGTTTGTTGGTGGGTGGTGGGCTGCATTGCACATGGCTTAAGCGAGCAGACCCTAAACTTCTGGGCAGGGGCGTACTGACAACTCATGGGGCCCCCCGGGCAATAGGGGATCATGGGGCCCCTGTGTCCTTGCCCAAACTCAATAAAGCTTATGAAAAAGGTACCAGGGGCATCTCATGGGGCCCCCTACTGACCCTGGGCCCTCGGGCAGTGCCCGAGTTTCCAAATAGTCAGTCCTCCCCCCTGCTTCTGGGCAATATAGGACTTTGTCCAACGACTCCCCCTAAAGTGTGGGTGGCGGGTGGAGACCCCTGGTCCACCCTCCTGACTGTATGCTTTATCCCTTTCACTCCCTGGGGTTTGGAGTCAGACACTAAGCACCTTCTCCAGTCCCAGCAGCCAGGGACCACCAGTAGAACTCACGCTCACTTTGTTTAGAGCAGCATTCCTACCGAAGAAATTTCCACAAGGCTAAATGTGGTTCATGTTCTTTTGCTGAAAGCCTCAGTTGATACATGGCTCCATAAGAACACAGTTCGGCAACGAAACGGACTCTTGGACCCAGGCTATGATGGATGATGGATAGGCCTCATTTTTTTCTTGGCTAAGGATGGAGGAAACAGAGGGGTAAACTGCTCCATTTCTGCCACCCCCCTCTGCCAATCCCTCCACTGGCTTCCGATTGCGCAACGGATCAAATTCAAAATCCTAACACTGACGTACAAAGCTGTCCACCATACTGCCCCGAACTACTACACACTGACCTAATATCCAAGTACCGCCCAGCACGCACACTCCGCTCCTCACAAGACCTCCTTCTCTCTAGTTCCCTGGTCTCCTCCTGCCATGTCCACCTCCAGGACTTCTCCAGGGTGTCACCCATCCTCTGGAACTCCCTGCCCCAACCCATCAGATTATCATCTACTCTCCTCTCCTTTAGGCGCACCCTGAAAACCCATCTCTTCAGGGAAGCCTACCCCACCTCCTGCTAACCTGCCGACCTCCTCCACTCTTCCTACCATTCCATCCCCTACAGCTATCTCCTCCTGTGCCACCATCCCCTCCCTCCTAGATTGTAAGCTCCAAGGAGCAGGGCCCTCGATCCCCTCATGTTTTGCATTGTATTGGTATTGTTCTGTCACATGTTCTCTGTCCCCCTTTGTAACGTACAGCGCTGAGCGTACTATTGGCGCTTTATAAATACTGTATAATAATAATAATAACAGAGGGGTAAACCAGCTCCATGGCATTCTCTTTGCACTCCTAGGAATAGGATAAGAACCCCAAGGCATCCTGCCCTCTCCCAAGAGGGGGGAGAGCAGGAGGACAGCAGATGATGTTGCCTCCTCCTCTTCCTTCCCTAGACTGTCCACCTCCCAACTGTGACCTGCCTACTCTCCCAACCTTCTCTCAGGGGGAGGAGGCACTTTAAATGGGACCCCAATCCACCTACAAGTTGATTCCAAAATGTGGACCCAGTTTTTATCCATTTCGCTGACCCAGCCTGAATCCGAATTTCAGAATTTCAAAATGCTTCTGAACAAACTTAAGTTGACTTCCAGTGGCCGGTCCAACCTTTCAATCTTAGCACCCTTGGCAGAATTTGTAAAGAAAGTGTCTCAGGCTGTTTTTCTGCCCCATTATCTCATTGGCCAGGCTAAGCTTAGCCAAAACTGATACCCATGGAAAAGTACTATTCTTCCCACTGACACCAATGATGGGGCACTATTTCTTCCCCGATACCAACAATAGGGCACTATTCCTCCCACTGACACCAATGATGGGACACTATTCCTCCCAGTGACACCAGGAGTCTGGGAGGGGGCCTAGATGGAGAGGGGCTCACCTACAGGCAGTGAAGCTTGGAAATGGATAAAAACTGGGTCCACATTTTGGATTCAACTTGTAGGCAGGTGGTGGGTGGGTTGGGGTCCCCTTTAAGGTGCCTCCTACTTGCAACTACCTAGGGCTTTCTTCTCTTAGAGTGACAGATACTAGATCCCCTGCCCAGGGATTCACCCAGAATGGCTGGATAAGGAGTATCTAGGATCTAAGGTGGTACAACAGGGGATAATGGCTAGCTCTCCAAGAAGAAGGATCTGTTCTTTGTTCTTAAAGAGACTTGTACATAGTTCAGGAAGATTGTCCTCACTTGTTCTTACCCTTGGGCATCTCATACACCCCTTACCCCACCCAAGTTGAATTCCCCTAATAAAATCCAAAAAAAAAACAAGCTCAAGGACTGGTTACTGTTTCCTGTATACAAGTCTGTATGGAAAATTCTGTTGCGTGCAGGACTATAGGGGGACCTAAACTTCAGCAACTCCTAGGGGGGAGTGCTACACCAATGATGGGGCACTATTCCTCCAGTACACTGGCCCTTCATTTAGAAAGTCTGGAGACCCCTGCCTAAGTCTAAACAAGCACATAACCCTTGCAGTGCGGGCACGGTCCCGCTGCAAGGAATCATTTTCAAACTTCCTGGACTTGGGCCTTAAGCGTTGATCTCAGATAGTCATACCACATTCTGGAATACAGAAACCTTCACCAAAGTTCACTGAACTTCCATTCACGGCCAACAAATCTTCATGAAGCCTAATTAGTAACTGCATTGGTAAGCTTGATAATTCTCTGCAACAACTGTGGAAGATCTTATAAAATTCTGTTCTGAGCCGAGACAAATTTATACCGCCCTTGTGAAAAAATATTATGGTGGCAGCAGGAAGAGACAAGTCCTTTATAAAGTAAATACAACATTAGTTAGCATTTAAAAAGGAAGGAAATCTCTATGTAAAGGTTCTGAAATTTGAAATGAACCAATTATCCCATTGAAGGGAGCGGCAGAGCTGCGGCGCAGTCTACTCTACTTATGAAAATGGAATAATTCATCTTCTTCCCGATATGATAATTTTTCCTTTTCCGCTCCCTTCTTAATGCCGACATAAATGGACTTTTACAAAACTTCGGCTTCAAGGCTTCCTGTGTGCCGGAGAGGATAAGAAAAGACGTGGAGGAGAACGTCTATTAACACTTCAGAACGAAGAAAAAAGAACAAATTATAAATATTTGGTCACCTTTCCTTCGTCTTCTTACTTTTCTTTTAAGAATAAAATGCTCGGTTTGTGAATACTTTGCAAATTTTCCACTTTTGCAGGTTTGGAAGGATTGGAGAGGGGAACCAGAGGAGAAAGGAGAGGTAATAGCACCTTCTTCATATTTTAAAGGGTCTGTCTATCTTAAGTGTGTTAGCTTTTTCCATCCTTCAACATCTATCACCAGACCAGTGCACTGTTATAGTTAAAATATGAGTTCTATACGTTCCTTCAACCTAACCTCCCTCTCCTCACGTAGAACTGCAAAGCAAAGAATGCTTTCTATATCTACACAATATTTATTATATATATAACAAACAGACACAACATTGTGACCACCCACCATAACCCACCCAGGCATGGACTCCACTAGACCTCTGAAGGTATGCTGTGGTATCTGGAACCAAGCCGTCAGTAGCAGATCCTTTAAGTCCTGTAAGTTGCAAGGTGTGGCCTCTATGAATCAGACTTGTTTTTCCAGCACGTCCCACATATGTTCAGTTGGATTGAGATCTGGAAAATTTGGAGGCCAAGTCATGACCCCAAACGCATTGTTGAGTTCCTCAAACCAGCCTTGAGTTCATCAGACCAAGCCAACTTCTTCCATTGCTCCGTGGTCCAGTTCTGATGCTCACGTGCCCATTGTAGGCACTTTTGGCTGTGAACATGGGTCAACATGGGCCCCCTGCAGGTCTGTGGGTGCACAGCCCCATACACAACAAACTGCGATGCCCTGTGTGTTCTGATATTTTTCTATCAGAACCAGCATTAATTTTTTCAGCAACTGTAGCTCCAGTAGCTCTTCTATTGAATTGCACTACATGGGCAACATAGATAAAGACCTCCAAACTTTGAGTGGCCTTCGGATTAGCACAACAACAGTGCATAGAGAGCTTCATGGAATGGGTTTCATCCAAGGGTGGACTGACCATTTGGAAACTCGGGCACTGCCCGAGGGCCGGGGTCAGTAGGGGGCCCCATGAGATGCCCCTGGTACCTTTTTCATAGGCTTTTTTGAGTTTGGGCAAGGACACAGGGGCCCCATGATCCCCTATTGCCCAGGGGCACCATGAGTTGTCAGTCCGCCCCTGGTTCCATCACAAGCCTTACATCACCAAGTGCAATGCAAAGCGTCGGATGCCGTGGTGTAAAGCAAGCCGCCACTGGACTCTAGAGCAGTGGAGATGTGTTCTCTTGGGTGACCAATCAAGCTTCTCTGTCTGGCAAGCGGATTGAGGTGTCTGGGTTTTGTGGTTGCCAGGAGAACTGTACTTGCCTGACTGCATGGTGCCAAGTGTAAAGTTTGGTTGAGGGGGGGATTATGGTGTGGGGTTGCTTTTCAGGGGTTGGGCTTGGCCTCCTAGTTCCAGTCAAGGGAACTCTTATGGCATCAGCATACCAAGACATTTTGGACAATTTCATGCTCTCAATTTTGTGGGAAGAGTTTGGCGATGGCCCCCTCCTGTTCCAACATGACTGCGCACCAGTGCACAAAGCAAGGTCCATAAAGACATGGAGGAGCCAGTTTGGGGTGGAGGAACTTGGCTGGCCTGCACAGAGTCCTGACCTCAACCCCATAGAACACCTTTGGGATGAATTAGAGTGGAGACTACGAGCCAGGCCTCCTCCCCCGACATCAGTGCCTGACCTGACAAATGTGCTTCTGGAAGAATGGTCCAACCTTCCCATAGACACCCTCCTAAACCTTGTGGACGGCCTTCCCAGAAGAGCTGAAGCTGTTATAGCTGAAAAGGGCGGGGCCAACTCAATATTGAACCCTACGGACTAAGACTGGGGGGCCATTGAAGTTCATGTGCGTGGAAAGGCCGGCGTCCCCATACATCTGGATATATAGTGTGTATATGTATATATATATATATACACACGCATATATATATATATATATATATATATATATATATATATATATATGTATATGTACAGTATATATATTTATATATATATATATATATAGGCTGTATATATATATATATATATATATATATATATATATAGTATCTTCATCCCGTAAGTAAACATGGACAGACATCCTCTCGTTCCCCACTTACTTGTATCCTTTACAAAATTGGGGGATTTCCTGATCGAACTCCCCGGGGTGAGTTTTATTTGTACAAATTTCATCAAAGTGCGACTCAGCGCAGATCAGAGCTCTGGCAGCGTTACACAGGCTCCAGCGGGGGATCTCCGGGAAGTGGCTGATAGAAATAAGTTGAACAAATATATTGAAGGTCAAGGGGAGGACTAACAAGAGGATTTGCAGAGAATGCCAATGTATCCTTTTATATTTAGGAAGAGATTTCTGCTTGGGCGAAGCCGGGGATTCGTCATGTTAAGGGGCAATTAAACAAAATATGAAATCGCCAAACAAATATTTACTAACCCCGACACATCAGTGTTTTAGAGGTCGTATTAGAGGAGAGCTGGACACGGATTTTCACAGGTTATCAAAAAGTCATTACTTGAGTCCAATTGGCCTGGGTTTGGCATACCAGGTGCACACAAAAATAACCTGAGCATGCAAGCCGATAGCTGGAGGTGTCTGCACAATGTAGCAGCGTCCAGGATAAGTTTCAAGGATGATTAGGTATATTTAGTTTTTTTGGCTCCCATGTAATCAGTGGAGCACTTTGTGATTGCTTTGGGCTGTTCTTGGCTTCGCTGGTGTCAAGGTCCTACCTTTTCCCAGAGTTTATGCTGCTCCATGTGCTGGCATCCATCTTGGATTTCTGCAGAGCATGGTGGGAGTCTTTTTTGCCTTCAGACCTCTGCGTCCCTCCCCCAGAGGGTTGTGGTTGATCACATATAAGCCTGTTGTCCGCACGTGCCCTTTGCATTCGTGTCTTGTATGTTTGTTTTGCAACAAGCTCTGTTTCTACTCTCGTGGCTCTCCTGGAAACCGACTCGGCTTTTGACTAGACTATTCTCAGCTTTATCCCTTTATCTGACCTCCCTTTGCTGAACCCAGCCTGTGACCTGTTATTCTTGTCTACCGTTCTGTACTGTCTGTCCCGTTGTTATCGACCCGGCCTGCCCGACTACGCTATTGTCTTCTGGTTCCTACCAGCTATACGCCATTAGCGGCGGCCATTACCGCAGCTGGGGTGTCTCGGGGGCCGCGACCTGGTCCCTGGCTGCGTCAAGTCCATCCCCACCATCAGGGGCCCTGGTGAAGGGCAGCCTGGGACTTAGACTCCGCGCCCTGAGGGATTCCGGTCTGTGGGTGGTGGTTGTCGTCAGTCGGTGCGTGACCCTGCCATTAGGCCTGCCTGTCCGTTACACAGCTCCTGCCCTGACACTTGGCTTGATTGGTTTGATTGCTTCCCCATCTTCTAGAGGATTCTAAAATGATTGCAGTTGGTGGAAACGGCAAGTCAATAGCCTGAATATTTATGCTGTCCCAGCCAATCCTTAGGGGAGGGTGTCCGGTAGGTGGCTGGGGGGGTATATAAATAGCCTGGGCCCTGAGGCAGCCCAGTGCTTGTCCAGAAGGAGAAGTCCCCAGTCTGAAGGGCTGCTGCCCTTATGGGCTGTCTGGTTGAAGTTTTAGATGTGCTCATCGAGGTCTCAGCTATGCTAGAGCTGGGGGGGATTGCCCTGCTGATAATTTCTGGAACTGATTAAGGGATTTCACTGAGGATTTGGACTGGAGAGTTCACAGGAGAAATATCTGGCTGATACTGGAAGGAGGCATCCAAGTATCCAGCGACATTTTGTCTACAAACCAAAGTGTAGGATCCTGGTGAATGTTTGCTGCAACCATCCCTTGTGCATCAGTGCCAGAGCTTGCTCGAGTTGGGAAATTTCTTGTGGTGTCTCAGTGCTGCTCATTCCTCTGGAGGGCGAGGGGTTAAGATAAGGGTCTGGTATAAATGAATGGAGTTTGTTTACAAACAAAACAAAATAGCTGGGAGCTTTCATTTTGCCGGCAATTTAAACATTTTTCTCTGTAAATGTTGGTGCTGTTGTAGTAGGTTGCCTACGTTGCGCGGATGCACCACTGCACAGGCAGGCATGAAAATGGAGTTACTCTTTAAGTTACTACCATTTCCCTCATCCCTGTATACTGTGTTTATTAAAATGCCCATTAAAAGTTTTTCTTTTAAATATCTACCCTCTGCGCTGGCACCACTAACTGTAGAAGGGGAGTTCCACATCCTCACTGCTCTGACAGTAAAGAACCCCTTACGCAGTTTAAGATTAAACCATTCCTTGCCTAACTTCATTGAGTGGCCCCATGTCTTTCCAAGCAACCTGAGACTGAAACGTTTGCTAGGATCACCATAGAGATATTTGTATCATATCTCCTTTAAAGTATCCCTTCTCCAAGAAGAGTATGTTTAATGTTTGTAGTTGTTCCTCATAACTGAGGTCCTACAACCCCCTTGTTAGCTTTGTTGACCTTCTCTGGATTCTCTCCAGTTCCAGCACATCCTTCCTGAGGAATGGTGACCAGAACTGGACGGCATACTCAAGGTGTGGTGGGACCAGAGTTTTGTAAAGTGGTAACATTATAGATTTATCGCTTAAGTCAATCAGATTTCAGTAAAATAAAGTCCCTATATTCAATGCATGTGTCACGCACCCCCTTAAAGAGCCATTTGTGAACTCAGTTCTTTTCCCCCAGTCAAAGCCAGGCACATGGAATTTCCTCCACTCCTCCACTGGCTCGAATGAACAGTCTAGGGGTGTTATTTTAGGGCTGTATTGTAGGAATGAACTTGGATGTGGTGAAGGAAGCATGGGATACTCTGAAACTGGTTAACTGAACAATTTGAGGAACCTTCTCTAGCTGGCTAAATGCACAAAAATGTCCCACTGATGCTAATGGTGACTAGGACTCTCCAGCACTGGGGCCATCTTCACACACTGCCACAGGATCATTGGTTGTCACCTTCCAATATCCACCAGCACGCTTCAGTAAGGCAGGGGCGTATTTACCACAAGGCAAACAAGGCACTTACCTAGGGTGGCATTTTTCAGGGGGGAAAAATGCAGCACCTCCCCCCAGTAGAAGGGATGGAAGGGAAGGGACATGAGTGCCATGGGAACCAGGTGGGATCTGAGAGAGGCTGTGGGCTGCTTGATGGTGTATGTAGAGCCCAGGGGCGGACTGACCATTTGGAAACTGCCCGAGGGCCCGGGGTCACTAGGGGGCCCCATGAGATGCCCCTGGTACCTTTTTCATAGGCTTTTTTGAGTTTGGGCAAGGACACAGGGGCCCCATGATCCCCTATTGCCCGGGGGCCCCATGAGTTGTCACTCCGCCCCTGGTAGAGCCCCATTCTCGTTCCCGGGGATTTACGAAGCTGTGAAGATGAGTGTCTTTCTCTCTATCGTTGGAGAGGCTAGTGGAAGGCTTTCCCAGGTGGGGGGTAGGGGTGTTGTTGGTCGATGTCAGGCTCTCTCTGTGGGAGGGGGAGGGGGGTGGTGTTGGTTGGTGTCCGGGAGGGAAGACGACTTTTGTGTTGCCTGGGGCAGCACAAAACCTAAATACACCACTTCAGTAAGGGACACACAGACTCACTTCACCAAAGGACAGCTGGACAGTTTTCCCCAACTTCCTAATGGCTCCCTCCAGTGAGTTTTTCCAGACCCAAACCGATTCCAGATCTGAGCTTGTGACTAGGCCCCCCCAGGCTTTATCTTTATCTATGTCTTCTCAGGAACACCTCAAATAGTCCTGCTCCAGGGGCAGAGCCCCTATACAGGGTTCTCCTGAAGCAGGATCGGACCCAGGAACTTTTTCCCTTCTGTCTCAGGCCTCAGACTATTTGTGGGCTCTCCAGCCACATACTGGGCACTCCTCCCCAAGGATTGGCTGGAATCCCATAAATATTCATGCTGCTCTCTATGTTCTTCCCCCCACTATAATTATAGAATCCTCTAGAACAAAGGGAGAATCAATTAGAGCAGCAGCAGCCTATGAGACACTAAGCAGGCCTGAACAATCAACCCCTGCTCCACTGACTACAGAGGAGTTGACAATATTTACCTAACAACCGAAAATAATCTAGGAAGGTGCTATACCTGCAAGATTGTGTTTATGTGAATATTTCTGGGGAGGGAGTTTATTGCTTTCATTAGATTCCTTAAAGGGGATCTTCACCCTCTTACTCACCCTCATCTTCCTTCCTCTGCACTCATCCTCCCCTCCTCTGGGTTTTTATTTTGTTGTAGTTATTTAGCTTTTTTTTTGTACAAACTCTTCTTGCCCATCCCCCATTATTTGCCTAGGCGAATGAAGTGCACTTTGCCCCCTGTGCCCCCTGGGAAATGCACTTCACATATCCCAGGTGGCATTAGCTGACATTAAGAAAAGAGGAGGGGGGAGGGCCTAGTAGTGAGTCAATGGGAGAGCCGCCAGTTGAACCTGGAAAAGCCACTTCACAATGACGTCACGCATGAAGATGGCAGTGTGAGACCAAGCACGGGGCAGAAGGGAGGAGGATTTCAGCCAGACACTGCTGTACCAGTTGAACCTGGATTAACCGACAGCTTCCCAATGATGTCACGCATGATGATGGCGGTGTGAGACCAGCAATGAGGCAGAAGGGAGGAGGATCTCAGCTGGAAACCACTGGACCTGGTGCATGTCACATATCCTGGGTGGCATTACTTTGGCATTGAGAAAAGAGGAGGGGGGGGCGGGGGGCCTAGTAGTGAGTCATTGGGAGAGTGCCAGTTGAACCTGGAACAGCCACTGACTTCACAATGACCTCACGCATGAAGATGACGGTAGGAGACTAAGCATGGAGGAGAAGGGAGGAGGATCTCAGCCGGACACCGCTAGACCAGTTGAACCTGGAATAGCCAGCAGCTTTCCAATGAAGTCACGCATGAAGATGGCGGTGTGAAACCAAGCATGAGGCAAAAGAGAGGAGGACTTCAGCCAGACACCGCTGGACCTGGTGGACGTCACATATGCTAGGTAACATTACTTGACACTGAGAAAAGAGGAGGGGGGTGGGCCTAGTAGTGAGTCATTGGGAGAGCCGCCAGTTGAACCTGGAATAACTGCCAGCTTCCCAATGACGTCGCACATGAAGATGGCAGTGTGAGACCAAGCATGGGGCAGAAGGGAGGAGGATCTCAGCCGGACACCGCTGGACCAGTTGAACCTGGAATAGCTGGCAGCTTCCCAATGACGTCACGCATGAAGATGGTGGTGTGAGACCAAGCATGGGGCAGTAGGAGAGGAGGATCTCAGCCGGAAACCGCTGGACCCGGGGGGGTGGGTGAGTATGTTACCTGTGGAGGACCTGCAACCAGGTAAGCAGGGGATGAGAAACAATAATGAGGTGGGAGAAGGATCGCTGACTCAAAAAAAGTTAAGAACCACTCTGTAGAAGGATATGCTTTGTTCATTTGTCATTTCAGAGGTTTCCAACCTCTTCTCCCTTCACCTCCCCCCTCATTTTTTATTTCCTTATCCCCTGCTTACCTGGTTCCAGGTTACCAGGTAACATACTCACCACCACCCACCCACCCACCAGGTCCAGTGGTTTCCAGCTGAGATCCTCCTCCCTTCTGCCTCATGCTTGGTCTCACACTGCCAGCTTCATGCATGACGTCATTGGGAAGCTGCTGGCTATTCCAGGTTCAACTGATCCAGCAGTGTCCGGTTGAGATCCTCTTCCCTTCTGCCCTATGCTTGGTCTCACACCGCCATCTTCATGCGTGACGTCATTGGGAAGCTGCCGGCTATTCCAGGTTCAACTAGTCCAGCAGTGTCCTGTTGAGATCCTCCTCCCTTCTTCTGCCCCATGTTTGGTCTCACACCGCCATCTTCATGCGTGACGTCATTGGGAGACTGCCGGCTATTCCAGGTTCAATTGGTCCAGCAGTGTCCTGTTGAGAACCTCCTCCCTTCAGCCCCATGCTTGGTCTCACACCGCCATCTTCATGCACAGGTTTTAAAAGTTGTGATGTTCCCTTTATAACAGTCATGGCAGGTTTGCTTTATGGCTTTCTTTTATAAAGTTGCAAACCTTCCTTGGCGCACTGCTGCACAAAATATGCCCTTGTCACCAGTTTGCTGCTGGAAGGCCGGTTACAGAAACCACATCCTGTGGAAAGAGTTAAAAGATATATTCACAACTCTTGGCAGCGTACACATGCCCGGTGGACAAGAAGAGCGATGGAAGACATTTATAATGGAAAAATAAATGAAGAAGTAATAGTCAGCGAAGCCTGAACACCTTGCCCAAAGGCGGTAATGGACTCCAAAGTACAGAGGACACTGGAGGATGTCACGACGGACACGCACCGCCAACAAGTAGGAAATGGACAGAAGTGATGAAACAGGAGTTTTGTGTTGCCAGCAACGGGGAATATTCTCCTCTGAAACTTTGTGTTCTTTGTTCGGCTCCTGAGCCGTTCGGAAATAAAGCGCTAATGTCAGTGTAGATGTAAAACATTTGATCAGATTACCACGTATCAGCATCAAGCTCAACCTCAGCCCAAACTTTTTTCTTTTACTTTTGAAGACCAGAAGAGTTCAACCTTTCAGATTTTTATCCCCCTAGCGAACGTTTTATAATACATAGAGAGACTATGCAAGGCAGATCCTGTCGAACCTTACATGAACACATTTAACTCATTTTTTCACAGAATGACTTTTATCAGCCAATCATCGTTAAATACACATCACAGAGCTGGAACATTCATTCACTGACTCCTACCATAGCACATGGCTCTGCTCGAAGATTCAATCAAAGACAGCCGAAAAGCAGGCAGACACTAAAGTTCTGTTTCATTGGATAACCCGTAGTGCTCTGCAAATCCATTGTCATATATTACTTTTTTTTTTTTTAAGAAACAAATATTGTATACACTTAGTAAAAAAAATAATAAAAAATGGTGACGTTTGAAACTTTCTGTAACATTGAAATAAGTACTGATTTGAGCAGAAAAGTAAGTGCAGTTGCAACCCCTTTAGACTTTTACATGTGAGACAATTCACCTGGGGACTGTCAGAGGAAGACACAGTTACTTATGTAGTCCACCCTATCTGACTGACTACAGTATATATATATATATATATATATATATATATATATATTCATATATATATATATATACTATATTGGCAAAAGTATTGGGCAAGCCCTCCAAATCATGTGATTCAGGTGTTCCAATCCCCTCCATGGCCACAGGTGTATACAATCACACCCCTAGGCATGCAGACTGCTTCTACAAACATTGGAGAAAAAATGGGTTGCTCTCAGTGACTCCAAGCTCCCGTGATAGGTGGCCACCTGTGCAATAAGTCCATCCGTGAGTGTTAGTGGGATTATAACAAAGTGGAAGCAACTGGGAACAACAGCAACTCAGCCACCAAGTGGTAGGCAATGTCACATGACAGAGTGGGGTCAGCGCATGCTGTCACCAAAAAGTCTGTCTGCAGAATCAATAGGTAAAGACCTCCAAACTTGGTGTGGCCTTCAGATTAGCACAACAGCAGTGTGTAGAGAGCTTCATGGAATGGGTTTTCATGGCCGAGCAGCTGCATCCAAGCCTTACATCACCAAGTGCAATGCAAATCATCAGATGCCGTGGTGTAAAGCATGCCGCCACTGGACTCTAGAGCAGTGGGGGCGTGTTCTCTGGATTGATGAATCACGTTTCTCTGTCTGGCAATCCGATGGACGTGTCTGGGTTTGGCGGTTGTCAGGAGAATGGTACTTGCCTGACTGCACTGTGCCAAGTGTAAAGTTTGGTGGAGGTGGGATTATGGTGTGGGGTTTTTTCTCAGGGGTTGAGCTTGGCCCCCTAGTTCCAGTGAAGGGAACCCTTAAAGCAGCAGTAGCATACCAAGACATTTTGGACAATTTCAAGCTCTCAACTTTGTGGGAAGAGTTTGGGGACGGTCCCTTCCTGTTCCAACATGACTGCGCACCAGTGCACAAAGCAAGGTCCATAAAGACATGGGTTTGGGGTGGAGGAACTTGACTGTACAGAGTCCTGACCTCAACCCAATAGAACACTTTTGGGATGAATTAGAGTGGAGACTACGAGCCAGGCCTTCTCGTCTTTTCAGAATTCTCCATAGGTGTTCAGTTGGGTTTAGATCAGGAGACATACTTGGCCTCTGAATCACTTTGACCTTGTTCTTCTTCAGAAATGCAACAGTGACCTTAGATGTGTGTTTTGGATCATTGTCATGTTGAAAAACCAAGGGCACGGAGTGAGTGATGGTAGCATCCTCTCTTTCAATATAGAGCAGTACATCTGTGAATTCATGATACCATCAAGGAAATGCAGCAGCACTCATGCAGCCCCACGAAAGGTCACCACCATTATTATTATTATTATTATTATTATACAGTAT